CGAAGGCTCCGGTTGTGGATTCCTCAAGAAAATTCACCTGCCTTGGCCTGGGCAACCTGGCAGTACTCAGCCCACAAGCCAATTGCGGTACATTTTCCTTTTATAAAGATTACTGTACCATGATTTGTTTGGCACACAGTCTGCCCTCAGACAAGTGTGAAATATATAAAATATATATAGGTCAACATCACTGACATCCCCAGGTGTTTATGAGTTTAGTGTGAGTCGGTGATTTGCGATTCTGGTTCACCGATTTATTCTACCAATGAAACACTCCGAAAACGCATGAAAACTTCCTTCATAAAACTGTTCAACCAGTTCCAAACAGTCGTTAACCCTGCATGGTGATTCCGCGGTTCTTATCGCTGTTGATAGCACACTTATACACTAGATTCGAATTTCTTATCTCACTCTCGTCTTTTTTTCGGGTCATCATCGTCATCATCATCATCATCATCATCATTGTACAGCACAATACAGTGAAGCGAACTTCAGTGCTCGCTGCCAAACTCACAATGCATACAAGATAAGTGAGAATGTGTAAGGAGGATAGGGATTGGGCCTATTTTTAGGGACGGGAAAAGAAAGCGAACCTCTATGGCCAACACAGTACACAATCGAGCTGTGCATACATACCGTTTCAAGCATTCTGGTCTGATAAAAAGTGACAACAAGCTCGCCATCGCTGTCGGTTCGCAGCCATGACCTTTAGCGTCTCCAACCAACCAGTTGTGGAGTCTTTCGTACTCCAACCTGGAAGACGAGAGACACCTACTCTACCTAATGGCTCTGCATTTCTTCATGCCTCGTCTCCACGTCATCTGCTGGCCACCACGTGGCTTTCTACAGCCTGTAACAGCCATTGCAAACAAAGCGTGCTGCGATAGGCGATCGTCGGACATACGCGAGCCAACTTAAACTATTAAGCTGGATTCGATGAGATAGCGATTTCTTGTTTGATGTATTCCCAAACACCCGACGACTTACTTCTAAGTTACTAACCCACTCACTCCATCCAACCTGGACCAGACTACATAAGCACCGATTGTCGAACACTACTAAACGACGGGTGTCTTCTACCCACAAATTCAAAGTCTCACAACCGTAAAGTAAAATTGATCGTACGGTGGCGCAGTGTACGCGACTTATCAACTTCAGAGAAACGTCATGTCGCCGCCACATGTGTTTAAGTCCTGCGTACGCTGCTCGACCCGAAATGCGGGCGGTTATCTCCTTTGATGCACTACCGTCGTTGGTCACTTAGCTACCTAAGTACGAGAAGCAGTCAACTTCAGCTAATTCCTGACCGTCTAGTTTCAAAA